GTGTTGGTCATGTAATTTGTGATTCTCCAGCTAAAAGCTTTGTACTTAATGTGAAATCATTTAATGCTTATTTTGGATGTATCTCATGTACTCAGGAAGGTTCGTTCATAAATAATAGTATATCATTTTTAGAAATAGAATCGCCTCTTAGAACCGATGAATCATTTCGTTCTAAAACACAGGAAGAATATCATAAAGGTAGTATCCCTCTTGAATTATTACCTATAAATATAATTAACGACGTGTGTCTTGATTATATGCATAATGTTTGCCTGGGTGTAACAAAACGTTTGTTAGAGTTTTGGGTTAAAGGTAAGAAGGACGTTAAATTAGCTGAGGAAAATAAAGTTAAAATATCTTATAATTTGATGAATCTACGATTGTACGTACTATCTGAATTTAGTCGTCTGCCTAGAGAATTAGATAGTATAGAATACTATAAAGCTACTGAATTAAGAATGTTTGTTCTACATTCAGGATTAATAGTTTTAAAAGGAAATTTAAATAAATTAAAGTATTCTCATTTTAAACTCTTGGTATGTGCAGTAAGAATTTTGATTTCTCCTGATATATGTCAAACTTCAAATGATTTAGCTCAAAACTTACTGAATGAATTTGTTTCTCAGTACTCTTCTTTGTATGGGGCTCATTCTGTGACTTATAATGTTCATAGTTTATTATATCTTCCTATGCANTTCATAGCTTATTACATCTTCCTATGTATGTTAAAATTCATGGATGTCTTGATAATTTTAGTTGCTTTAAATTTGAAAATTATTTACAATACATAAAAAAATCAATAAAATGTGCCAAATATCCTCTTTCAGAAGTAACTAATAGAGTTATTGAAAAACAAAAACATTTAATATCCAGTAGTATAATTCTTGATCCTTTTGTCACTTTTAAAGAGATTATTAACACATCTACTCCTTACTTTAGTTTAGATGATAAATTATATGAAAAAATAATTTTAAAAGATCTAAAAGTAATTATTAATACATGCAATGAACGTGATACATATATAATATTAAAAAATAGTGACGTTGTTATGGTTAACCACATTGTTAAACCAAAAAATGAATTAAATATTAATTGTTCAAAAATTTTTAAATCCATCTCCAATTTTTACTGAGCCTATTGTATCTACCATATTTGGCTTATATACTATAAATACTAATAATTTATCTAATAATTTGTCAATTCATATTTCTGATATAAAATACAAATGTTTTTTTATTCGTATATCTAATGAACAAGCAGTTATATCAACTTTAAATCATTCACTTTCAGAAATACCTTATTAAATTAACTTATTTACACAAGCTTTGGTATAAATTATTAATTATACAAAATGCATTCATTTTTGTATATATTTTTTTTAAAGTTCATTATATATTTATTATTACTAATTAAGTAGGTATATAATTTTTATATTTTATAAGTATGTGTACTATTTATTAGATTTAATAGTCTACTATAATGTTTCATATAATTTCAATATATTGTGATACTATTTTAATAATTTGTATAATATTGACATACGTACATGGTTTAATATAGTTATATTTATTTTCGACGTTTATTGCTGGTATATTTTATTTTGTTTTTAATTTATATTATTTTTATAGTTCTTTAACTTATTCAATATATAATATGTTTCAAGTGATGTTGTTTTTGTGTGGTGGTTATATATTTAGTCTTAGTTATTATTTATATGTTAATAACACCTATTGTTTCAATAAACAGAATTAATACAAATTAAGGGTGTATTTAATGTACTAAAAAAGATAAAAAAGTTCTAACTACTAAAGCCTGAATAAAATATCCTATTAATGATATTTGTTTTTTTAATATACATCACAGTTATAACATTTTATAAAAAGATTTTAGAATTGTTTACTGTATGTAAATCTAGCATATTACGACGACATTATCTTTAAATGTTCCAGTAATATCCCAATCAAACATACACACAATGTTTCTAGGGTATGTGTATACAATGTTTGAAGGAAACATACTACTAGTAATGCTTATAAATAACAAACCTTAAATATTTTATAAGTGTTGAAAAAAAACGGTTATTAACAAGCTCAGGGACATCGCCTTTATATCATAGTAATAATGTATGGGATGTTACACGTTCCCATGAAACGTTTTAAGAACATCAATAGTATGTAACATTGTACAGTGGGATATTATATTAAGGTCATTAATTGTATCCAAAGTACATCAAGATTTGAGTGACTTAAACGAAGGTGTATTATACTCACCAAGAGTGTTTTGTTTTTTGATCATGCATTAATTCTGCAAGTGTAAACATATTTAAAAACTTCTAATAAATTAAGTTTTTAAGTATAAATTAAGTATTAAGTTTTTTCTATTTTGGAAATATAATATTAAATATATAATTAAATTTGTTTAAAACGTCTAAACTCCATTAACCCCCCTTAAATACCTGCCTTTGTAGAGATAATTTTAACCCAATGTGTTTAAGCCAATTATTTTTTTTAAATTATGATTTGTCGGGTGGTGTCCAACTTTTAATGAACCTCACAAACGAAAATTATAGAAATGTTTACTGACGTAAAAAAAACTTACTATTTTTCTAATTACTATTTTAGGAATTGACAAATAATTTGAAATTTGAAATTTTGGTACTGCTGTATCTTAAAAGAAACAACCCTAGTGTCTTAACTTAAAGTAATAAAAGTTTAATAATAACTCAAATGTATTTATTATAGATATTATTAAACAATGCAAAACATACAAAATAAATATACACTAAAAACACAATAAAACAATACACAAAATGAAAACTTAATGTCATAAACGTACCGCGCGAATAGAGATTACCTTTAGTGCTCCTGAGGTCCTCTCTCCTGTACGATTCATTCTTCGTCTTATATACTAAAATATTTTGTTTTTCTTCTTTTTGCAAAATTAATAATACTATCGTTTTCAAAAATGTTTATAAATATTTAATTCCTGGTCTAGTAATAATAGATCAGGAAATTACAATTAAACAAAACATTACAAAAATGTTTTACTTCCAGCTTTACAAATGATAAACTATATTACAGTATACAGACTGATTTTATTACCATAACCCACTCATTTACTTGTAGAATAAATATAATTTAAACATTATTTTTGGTTTTCTTTAGTTACACATTATTCTTAAATTATTAACTATTTAAAACTTTTTATGTTCATCCCTTATGCCTTGTAAGGGTGTCAACTTTGTCTTTTTGTCTTTTAAATAGGAACACATATTTTGAATATAATAAAACCCAGCACAGGGGGGTCGCGGCACAGTGATGCCGTGGTATAGTTGGATCAAGTATAATGATATCTGATAGTGATTAAAATCACTATCAATATAAAACGCTTCGATGCAAATCTTTAGATAGTGTTTAATTTTAAAAAATTGGTGTATTATTCCAAAAGCTACATGATCTGCAAGTTCCTTATTAATATCTTGATTAAGGTAAAGTATGTCGAATGAAAAAGAGATTATTAAAAAATATTATTTCTCATAAAAAAATATTGAACCATACACTTATCAATAAGTTATAGCATTATAAAGTTAAAAATATAAAAAATAAAATCGAGAATTTTCACAAGAAAATAGAATTCGGTAGCCATTTTCGCCGTGAAGATAAGCCCAGAAGTCAAATTTTTTTTTTTTTTAATGAAAGTATATTACGTTAACTTTAATTTAAGATATATATAAAAGTGTCAGACCTTCCGGAACATTTTCAAAAGTTAAGTTGAAAAAGTTAATTTGTGGGCAGAAAAAAGGTCCAATTTACAAAAAATATATACCAAATGATAGGTTAAGACATGAAGCATCTATAAAAAAAAAAAAATTATATTCATATGTTCATTTTTGAAAAAGTTACGGCAATTTTTAGTAAAAAAAATTGAAAAAATTTTGAAAATTAGCGATTTTTAAATTTGTAATTTTTTTGGAGGTTTCCCCCATTTACGTGGAACGAGGGAAATTTTTTCAATTTTGAAGGGTAATGTCTTCGACTATATACGATTTGACGTATCGTTGAAAGAAATCCGTTCGGTGAGAGCTGAGAAAAAGTGGTAACAGACACAAAAAAAAAAAAAAATAAACACATTATAGTAAAACCAATACCTTCTCAGCTTCGCATCGAAGCTAAAATGTTTGGATTTTTAATTAAATAGTAAATGGCATTTGAATTTTTAATATAACTTTATTAGTTTATTAGATATAAACATTTAAAGTTTCAAATTTTTGAGTTAATATACATGTATAATATACATGATGATATGATTACAAATACTGGTAGCTAATAGGTTTATATGATATCAATGTCGCAGATTGTTTATTATCAATTATGACTATCATAGATATACTTTCTGTATTGACAGTTAGTGTATTTATAAACTCGCAACAATGTGCCTTACTACTTTTGATAATAACAATGCTGTGTACCTGCTAATTTCTTTGAAGTTGTTTTAAACAAAGTAACTCATAACTAAATACTTTATTTATAATAAGTAAACAAATAATAAAATCTCCTTTCAGTATTGATGTTCGTAAATTACTTGCTTTTGATGATGTTTCAGTGTCATTCCACTTCGAAATTATAAATAACGATTCAATTAGGTACACAAAAAGCTCAAGAAAATCATTGACAGCATAAAAACGTTCAACTCATTTAGTCGCACATAATTGTTTTAATGATTTTTTAGTTATACATTTTTGACTTTCTTCGATTTGACTTTTCAACACATCTTTTCGCTTTGGGTATATGAAAAAATCTCTAACTTTAGATGTTGTTCCTAATCAATTTCGTGTTTCTTGTATAGAAGATGAATAAGAAATAGCAAGGTTTAAAACATGAACAGCACAATGAACAAACGTCGCAAGCGGATAACTTTGGTGAATAAGAGATTGAGCTCCGTTAAATTGACCAGACATAGAAGCACATCCATCGTAACACTGTCCTCTAAGGTATTTTGTTTCTACACCAAATGAATGTAAACTTTGAATAATAATATATAAACCTTTTCCAGTAGTATCTGTTGTAGGCACAAACTGAAGAATTCTTCCTTGATAATCATATTTTCAACATCTAAATATCGAACACACAAAGTTACTTGTTCGCTTCCACCAATGTCGGCCGTTTCATCAGCAAGTATTTTGAAACATCTTTGGGCATTTATGTTTGTTACGATTTTATTTAAAATAATTTTATTACAGGATTCAATTATTTCATTTTGAAGTGTTTCACTTGTATATTTTATTGTTTCTTCAGCTTCCAAAAATGATTTTAAACGGTCATCTCCTTGGGCTCTGTATCTTAATATTTCTCTAAAATTTCCTTGATTTTCTTGGATAATTTGTCATTTTCTTGATATATATTGAAGTTACAAAGATATCCGTTATTGTCAAAAAAAAAAAAAAAATAATAATAATAACATTAAAAATGCAAATAATAATTAAACCTATAAGGTAGTTAAACCCTAAAGTTATTTTCGATTTGTTAAAGTCGTTAAAATTAATTCAAATCTCCTGTTATTTTCTTTTATCAGAATTATTATGTCATTAATTCAATTATTAATTAAATTGTTAAACTATATTATATATTCAACTTAATAAATTTTTATGTTGATTATAATCGCATGGCATGATGTTTTTTGTTAATAACTAAATGGAAATAGCAATTTCACATGGGCAAAATTTTTAATAGTTGCAAGAGAATAAATCCAAACGTTGATATTTTATTTCATACAGATTAAATTTTATATGCATAAATATTCTGTTAACCGATATCAAATTTATTCCACTTGAACTTTCATAAAAAAATCTCTATCATTTGTAAACTAATGTAATAAATAAACAAACAAATACAAAAGGTTTTTCTTCAAAATATCTTTAAAATATATATAATTATTTTTTTTTGATAATTCTCTGTATTATTCTTAAAATATTGTATTCTTTGACCAATAATACAATTAAAATAAATAAGTATTGTTTATACTAAATTTATTTATAATTGGCTTATACATTTTTTTAATGAATTTTTACAATTAAGTTTCCTTGACAATTAGATGTAAATGTTGATTTTATCGACATTTCAGTTCACTTCGTTTTTTCCCGTGAAAAATAAACTATCGTCTTGTGTAATTATTAAGATTTATTTAATTAGTTATTGATATGGCAAGTGAAAAAAATATTTTTGGTCAAACAAATGAATCAAACTTACATAAGGTCATACGCAGAGTTGAAGAAATATGGAATCGTCGTTTCATGCATTCCAATTGTGTTTTAAATAATACAAATAAAGGACAAATATCAAAAAAGTCAACTAAAGATGGAAGAATTATCTGTAAACACTATTAAGATTAATAATTAAACTAACTATTTCGAATAGAGAAAAAGTTTTTTAATATAAAATATAAGAAAAATTAATAATAAGTTCTCTTATTCATATATAACAATAATTCAGTCGCTTTACTTTAATTTAACTATTTTAATATTAAAAACCTTTTTCGAAATTGATTATTTAATTAATAATTATTAAAATTATATTCAATTTGCAGCAATTATTAATAAAAATATTTATCCTATAAAAAATTCCATTATTCCAAAAAAACGCACGTATCGAAAAACGAATAAAAATGATAAAATTATTCCAGAAAAATTGGTAACTATAATTATATTAATATATTTATTCGATTTAGCTATGTTATTGGGGTTTGTCTGATTCAAAAATATAAAATAAACTATCAACCCCCTTAATATAAATGCGGTAACATAATGTTTAATATTATTCTGCTATTTTTTCTATTAGATTTTTATGGGAAATTCAATTTTTATCGAAGATAATAATATAATATTAAGTATAGTTTATTTGTTTATTTAAATATCTCTTTGGTTACCTAGAATATGATGCAGCAAAGAGAATTCGGAACACTTTTTCAGAATGAAAAATCTGAAAAATATAAAAATGAAATTTTAAATTCAACAGAAAAAAAAAATATAGCAATTTCAAAAGACAATCCGCTATTAATATCAGCTGATTTGTTAGAAAAGGTATATTTTATTATGCTTTATTTCAATAAAAAGATTTTAGGGTATACCCTAAACCATTTTTTGGACTTAAAGCAGATTTCTTAAATAAATTTATCATATAATTAAATATATTTTTATGATCCGTTAAGAGTTTTCATAAGAAAAATTTGGAACGCAAAAAATCCGAAATAAAAAAACAACTTTTTGAGATATCTTCTAATACTACTGCTCGACCAAATTTAAAAAGAAATTCATCCGAAGAAGATGAAAAAGTCATAAAAAGTATACAACTTTTAAAATATAATTCATTTTTAAAAAATATGAAATTTTGATTTTTGAAACAAATATGTAATATTTTTAAACATAAATTATTTTAGAGCCAAAAGTTAGTTCTAATCCTTTGACCTTAAATACGCCGAATGACGTAAATTTACTTGCTCTGTCCACTATTGAAGTAATAAAAGTACCAGAGAAAGAAAAAGGTAATTAGTTATTTAATCTATTTATTTTATGTAAAATTAAATAAAAAAAGATTATTTATTAAACACAATTAATTATAATAATACGAGTTAAATTAATATAACTTCTGCAGAGGCGTGTCATTAAGGGGGTCCATGGACGTTTTAAACAAAAGTAATTATACGTGTTTAATTTCATATTCCAAAACCTTAAATAAACCTAAATAATAGTAAACTGTTCAACAAAGTCTTTTATTAATTTTATGAAAAATGTTTAAATATGGTTACACTTGCAGAAGTAATGCAAGATCAGAACACAAAATCTCTTGATCAGTATAATGCACCTTCATTTAAATCGCCCACATCATGGTATACTTCAGACACAATTAATGAGTACATTAAAATGATAGTAAAACGGTCAGAAGGTGAAGTTTATGCAGTTGTCACTGATTTTATTGTAGCGTATCTTCGAGGAGGTTATCCAGCTGTAAGAAGATGGATAAAAAAAGATATTCACACAATAAAATTACTTTTTGTGCCCATGAATGTATATGGGAGTCATTGGATATTGACAGTGGTTAATATACCTGAAAAGACTGTGACATCATATGATAGTCTTAAGTCGTATAAGGGTCCTTATCCAATGGTATTAAAAAATTTCTTAATTGAATGGGAGATGGACAAAAAAGGAAAAGCTTCTACATGGACATTACAAATAGGCGAGACATCTCGCCAAACCAATGGACATGATTGTGGGCCATTTACTGTTGAGCTGGCAGAAAAAATGTCTCGAGGAGATACAACACCAATAAATGAAAATTTTATGCCTTTTATAAGATTAAGACACAAAAATGAAATTATTGCTGGCGAANTTTTATAAGATTAAGACACAAAAATGAAATTATTGCTGGCGAACTATTCAATTAATATTTTTATGAATGAAATTTTATTTTTGTATTTTATATCAATTTTCTTAATATTCACTATAAATTGAAATTTTTATTTGTATACCACCAAACATTTTTTTACTTTTTCTATGTTTAATTGTTGTTTTGTTATTTTTTTTTAATCTTATTTTGCTTTGTAACATTTCATTTAAGGAATTAAAATTTAATATAAATTTATCTTAACTGAAATAATTTAATGTTCTTGTTATGTGACTATACAAATATTATAATATACAGTTATAGATACAATTAAGTTAAAAAGTCAGCCAATTATAAATTTTTAAATTAACAAGCGTATCTACTATCTTAACAACTTAATTTTAATTTTACTAAATGACGGTTCATTTATTGTTATGAATATTTACATTATCGTTGGTATAGAATATGTATTTTATTTTAGTTACAACAAATGCAATTAAAACAATATAGGAAAACAGTTTTTTAATCATTTAATTTTTTCTTTATAATATATAAAACAAAAACTAGTTTCATTATTTCGAGCAGATCAAGAAAAATTTTGTTAGCCTTTGAAACTAAGACACCTCAAAGTTGTAAATATATTTTGCACCTATGATCCTGTATGATGTATAAATGATATTTTTATACCTATAAAACATTTTAACTATTACAATTCTTAAAAAAAAAAAATGTATGTGTTACATATTTTATTGGAAGTAAAAATATTAAGGGAAGGGCACGAATGAATTATTAAAGAAACAGTGAAGAGTATAAGAGCATAACCTTTCCTTCAGTATAAGTACATGTTGCCCAGAGGCCACAGTATGAGTACAGATATTTAAAAGATAAGTTACACACAATTCAGTTTTTTTAAAACAATCAAATAAGTATTTGTAGATTGTGATTGCATTTTGATTTTCACCTTGTTGATGTAATTTTTTTCGAGACTAATAAACATTAACATAAGTGTTTTATAATTATCATATTGAAATTGTTACAAGTAAACAATTTAAAGTTTTATATATTACCCTCGCGTGTATATTATAAACACATTTTGTGTTTTTTTTATCGTAGTAACAATGTGTTCAGTGCCGTGTTGATATTTTTAATTATTCATAATTTGTTTAATAGTCGCATATGGGAAGCATCCAACATTTTGAATATCGTCTCTTTTATAAAATTGTGAGCATAAACAATATTGCTGAATCATGAGTGTGTGTTTAAATGTGGCGATGGAATGGTACAAGATTGTAAGTTTTGTGTTTTCAACAATTTTTTATCGTGTACAACATTCATGTTAGATAAGCAGTATAATAAGTGCCTGTACCTGCTTTTATTTAAATTTAAAGAATAGTAGTGTACTTAAAAATGAACAATGACAGAGATTTGTCATAAAAATATTTCAAAAAAAACTAACATTTAACGATCTTTTGACCTATTTTTTCTATTTGTAAAACTCATTTTCGATTAAAATTACCGTTTGAAATGATAAAATAACTAAGGAAATGTATTATATTGAAAAAACCAAAAAACTTTTACAAAAAGTTCATTTTAATTTTTTTAATAATTAAAACTTTTTAATTAGAAGGAAATTAAGATTTCTTTTTAGTTCAATAAACCGATTATTGTGTAGTTAAGATTCCGTTTTGTAGGGTACGTGCACTAAAAAAAAAAAATACTAAAAACAGACAAATAATAACAATAATCTTTATTTTATGGAAATTAATTTCAATTACAATGAATTAAGATCAGAAAATACAATTTGTATAACAATCATATCTTACTTTATAATATATTAGTTTACATTTGACAGCAGTTATTTGATGAAAAACGACATTACGTTAATGGAGTAGATAAAAACGTTTGAATATTATTTATAACTTTTTAGCTCGTTAAAGCCAAGACGTTATAAATTGAAATGATAATAATTTTTTATTGACCATTAAAACTACAAAAGTTTGCACTCGGTACATGTATCTCTCTTTAATTGCCTGTTCGTGGGTACAAACCACCGCGATATTTTAAAATAGCAATTAACAATTGTTTTTAATGATTAAAAATATCAATGTAATGTCGTTATTCAAGAGAGGGTTGGTGGCGACGTCACTTTGGAAGTTCCAGCGACTTGGGACAATGCTGACAACAACGACCGGTTACAGCGATCGCCGTAAAGACTTGTCGCGGCCAAGGTGTCCAGTCCGCCGTTGCAGCCAGTAATGTCTGGACGCGCGACGCGCGCGCACGTCTACATTTCACGTCTACCCTGCGATCCGGTTTCATTGTTTAGTGCCGGCCACGATTTATGTTGCGGTTACGCGTTGTGTATTATGGTACGGTCGCGTGTGTATCGTGCGGACGGGGGTGTTTTGCAAGTGCACGTTAAATTATAATGTGTTTATCATTACTCTTATATTAAACCGGTTGTTGACCTCGGGCGTGAGCAGGCGGACACCAGCGGCAGCAGACACAGACCGTCCCGGTCATCTCCGCAGATGTCGTTGGACCCGGTCGGTGCCGTCACGGCCGTCGCGACTGCCGACGTCCGCCGCCACCGTCATGTGCACCACCGTTATCGGCACAAGCGGCCTCAACATACTTTAGCCGCGACAACAGACCAGGACACTCTTCATCCCGTTCAGGTGCGTCGCCAAACATCTTTCAAAACAACGCACAAACCGGTTGTGCGACCCTGTTGTATTGTTCTCACATCCCGTTATCCACACATCTCCCCTAAATCTGTACACAGTTTTTTTGTTATGAACCAGTTGACCGCTATGCCTTTATCCGTGTTGACTTTATTGTATATAATATATTTTTTAGGTTACGGATGTTGATAAATAGTCTAGAACATTGTTTTACTTCGATTCAGAGCAGTCGCTGATTAGAGCTTTCAAACATGAGTTATGTTTTTACCCAATTCCGTTTTTATTCTCATCGTTTNTTTTACCCAATTCCGTTTTTATTCTCACCGTTTGTCAACGGTGTCGATTTATAGTAGGAAGGGCTCTCACAACTTGTGTGTCATTGCTGTGCGATATATTTTTTCAGTAGAATGATTAATCGATATCGTGTTTTTCTCAGTTAATTTCGTTACTTTTACNTTGTCAACGGTGTCGATTTATAGTAGGAAGGGCTCTCACAACTTGTGTGTCATTGCTGTGCGATATATTTTTTCAGTAGAATGTTCAATCGATATCTTGTTGTTTTTCAGTTAATTTCGTTAGTTTTATACTGTTTTTAAGTAGTCGTCTTAAAATTATGAGAGTGACATTTATATAGAAAAGTCAACCCGTTACATATGATGCTATACGATCGGTCTCTATCTAATTAGTTTTGTATCTCAAGTGCGATTTTAATCCGGAAGCTATGAAAATGTCTGTACAAGTACGTGACTTGTACGAGTTCATCGCGTTGATGTTATGTGATTGCGACGACAATTGGACGGAAAGTACCTGTTAAAAATATCGCACATAAAATACTTTTACAAATAAAATGTTTCAGAACGAATAAACTTAATAAATGATTTACTGATTAAGAATTATTTGTATGATCCAATAATTTTCNCTGATTAAGAATTATTTGTATGATTCAATAATTTTCGTGACCTTAGTTTATATATTTAATTTAAATATAAAATAAGAATTAGTAAAAAAGTACAATGCAAAAATTCTCATAGCCCTAATTAATACAGAACATAATGCAAATTATAAACTATTACAAAACAAGCCCTATGGAGTTTTCCTTTGGCAACCACACGGCTTTCTTGTTAAACATAAATCACATTCATTACAAGCCATGATTCGGATAACGATCCTATTTAATAAAAAATATGGCATGACATGTAACTTCTTGGATTCTGTAACCACAGAAACAAAATAATGTAGGCAGACTACTTCAAACTTAATTATTAATTGTTTTTTTGGTGTTTTTTTACGTCACAAGATTTCAAAAATGAACAATTTTTTAAATGTTTGTCAAAAGCTATTTGTTTTAGAACATTAAATTGTCAACAGATGTATAGTTGTCCTAATGGAAGACATTTTTCTAGTTTTCGTATTTTTTATTTGAAATAATAATTTTATTTTATTGTGAATTTATTTTTAATAAATTTATGTCATAAGTTATTTTTTTATTTAAATTTTAAATAATTTACAAGTATTTATAATCAATGTTATCAGTTAATTTCGCTTTGGTACAAAATAGCTAGACATAATATAATTTTTTCACGGGTATTATTCGTAATATATTGTATATGTTCTTGAAATAGGCACGGAAAATAATTTAGATAAGAAAAAATGTGTCCGGTGTTATGTGCGATCACGACGAAAAAAATATGGTTGCTTGGTTTTTTCTACGAATTAAACAAAATAAACGTTTACAAAGTCAGTATTTGATCACGCAACGTGAGCTGAATTTCTAGTGAAAATTATTGTTCGTTAATACTTGCAATATTTTCTATGGCGAATCCTTAGAATACACATTTTTATGTGTCACATTATTCAATCAAAGTGTAGATGTAGACGAATTTAAATCGTCGAATTTTAACAATATATCCATCAGTATATCGTTTTAATAGAAAAAAGATACCGAGAAAAATGAAAGGAAGCTATGGTGGGTGGGCTATAATTGGAAATTAAATTGTGAACACTATTCACATTACAGAAGTTTAAATAGTCATTTCTTAAGTAGTTTGTGCAAAATAAACATATATTTTTATTCAATTTTATGATAAAATTCGACTATTTTTTATGGTATTTTTTTACAATAATTAATAAAATAGTAAACACTTTCAAAATCTGATTTTATCATAACATTCTACTACAAAAAATACACATGCCTATGTAAAACTTAACTTTAAAAGTCCACATCAACGGTGAAACACGACGCGATGATTTCTAAATTTATACAAAATTATCGTCATAACATAAGTATAATTAGGGTTAATGAAAGAACAATTTTTTTAAAAATAATATATTAAGAAAAAACCGTAATTTAAAAATATTTAAATTATGACTAAAATATTGATGGTAGAGAAAAACACTAAGAGCATATCCGGATCAACAATAAAAAACATTACTTAAAAATACCAAGACCCCAATTTTGTCGAGTTATGAACTAATCAATAAACGTAAATTATTTTTTTTTTATAAATATCTTAGACAGTTCAACTCGATGAGAACATCATCTTTTCATTAGGTTCCAGTTTAATTGAAATTGAACTATTATAATTAAAATCATTCCAATAATAATAATACAAATAAAAAAAGATAATTTTAGCAGTAACAAATTTGTACTCGGAAATTTTCAGTAGGCAATCGAGAATATTATAAAAACACTTAGAGTACTACTATTATACTGTTTTTAATAAGTATAGCTGTTTTGTTTAGTTTTTCAGTTTATTTATTTTTTCTCTTACTAAATAGATAATAGTTATATTTTGTCATAAACACGTGTATAAGATGTTTTATGGTGAAGTGTATACTTAACACAAATTCTTAGTTGAGTATGTTCATCGCGACATAAGTAATAATCCACTGAAAATAAAATTACTCGTAAGTGTTTTAAATTAGGATTAAGTAGCACACCAATAGCCGATTGATAACATTTTTAATAGACATTGTCGTGTTTTACTGTAGGTATTAAGTATATTTTATTGATAAAAATGTAACTCATTTACAGTACTTTGTCCCTATAAATTGTTAACTAGTATAAATATTAAAAAGGTACTCGGTACACCACCGCTATACTTTAGTTTTACGGTTTATTCTTGTCTACAAGTTTTATAGAATGTAATTGGAAAGTAACGATAAATATTTATCGCTGACGAAATACCTTAAAAAATGTGTCTGCAGTGATTGCGTTAAATAAAATAAGTTTTTTTTTTTTGTTTTATTTCAGTATACAGGATCCGTTGTGGTTAATTGCCACGATCAGATGACACCGGTAGAATTTGTCAGAAACCTTATGGCCAAACATAGAAAGGTATCGTATTGTTTAACCTTTTGAAGTATTTTAAATACCATTAAAACCATTATTTTGACCGTTTCGTTTATGACTTGGTATGGTGAATATAATATTTGCTCGCCCAATAGCTATCCTTATGTAAATTGACTCGCGTGTAATAATTTCATGTTATTAATAATACCAGACGGCAAACGAGTTTTTATGCGTAAAATTACTCGTACAAAACTATAGGAGCAATAATTTAGTGGCTAAATGCTAATAACATCATCAGCAGCTTTTCGCGTAGGTACGTACTGGAAATATTAACAGATGGAATACAATTTTTATGTGCATAAAATGGCTCAGATTCTAAGTTAATCAACAGGTCTAGTACAACAACCTACGGAACGTTTTACGGGTTCAATAATTCAGATAAAATACATTAACATGAATAAATATTGATGGGTTTTTTATTTTTCGATATCCATAGTTATTTTTTCAATAAATTTCCAATAGGTTTTTTTCGTGTAATATCGGACTTGTGCAAAAACAGTCCTTCTTTAATTTATTTATTCTGGTATTATTGAATCAATTAAAACATTAATTTTGTATTATACAGATGTAGTCTCCTAAACATCAATAAAATTGTCTATTTTAATCGAACGCATAAAGCAAATGAGTCTTTAATGACACATCAAAATTCAAATTAAAATATATATTTTAGTATTTGTATATTTTACAATATATTTTAGTCGCCTCAAAAAAAAAAAAAACGTTAAAAGATTAAAATGATAAATACATTCATTATGTATTTTATACATATAAAACTTTTGAAACTAACATAATTTGTAACAACAATCAAAATATGCAACTTTTAATTGATATTCGAAAGAAAATATAATGGCTTATATATAGAACCTAAATTTTGTTAAAAAGTTAAATTATTCAAATATTTTTGCTTGCGAAGTGAATGTTAAATAGTATTTTTTTAGTGTTTCAATCTTTTCTATTGTATAGACAAATACATTTATTTTTATACAAAATTTTAATAATTGATATACTGTATTTTACACAGTTTTTATCTAATAATGGGGATTTATTATTTATCAGTATTTTGTCTAATCTAATAAATGTGATTAAACATTAAGCGTATTTTAAATGTAAGTTAATGATGTTGTTATGAAACGTATTTTTTTTTTTTAATTTTTATTACCATAAAAAATATTAAATTTTAAATTTATAGTATAATGCAATATAATGTAATATATTGTAGTTAATTACTTTAAAAACCGAGTTAAATTATCAATATAAAAAAATTAATCACAGTATTTTCTATTTTACAAAAATAATAAAAACAATTTTATAATCATTTGAAATTATATTATTTTTTTAAGTATAATATTAAACAAATATAATGTGAGTCATACATTGCGTATTTACTATGACTATATAAATTAGATTACTTTAAAATATAACTATAAGTATTTGTTACTCATCAATTGATTGATAAAATCCTTTAAAATTCTGATGACATTTATTTCCTAATGTACAGTCCGATGTAAAAAAGCACTGTAAACACAATTGTTGCTCCAACAGAATAGACTGAAGATTCTATTTTAAATTTGTAACCCAAGAATTTAAATTCTTCATATTCATCTGCTGTATGATTTTTCATATCAGTGTCTAAATAATAAAATTTGATATTTTAAAAGAATATTAAAAATATTTTATTTATTTAAGTTTCACTTTTAAAATTAATGATATTAAACTTATTTCAAAAACCTAACCAATTTTACTTATTAACATGTTAGCAAAGATGTAATTAAGTTGAAATACTCATATTAATTGATATTTTTTTAATTTAAAGGTTAAAATAAAATCAGTAAAACTATATAGAGGAATAATTTTTATATTGAAAAACTAGAAAAATCTGTTGTAAACTTATCAACATATATTTGGTATTCTGTTACAAATGTCATTTGTCAAAAGAGTTAACTTTATTTTTTAGAATTCTAGAATTTAGAAAAGTTATAGAATTACTAACTGAGAAAACCAAAACTAAAAAAAAAAATGTTCGTATGTTTTTTAACGATTGGTCACTATTATTGAAGTAACATAATAAATGGCTATATCAAAATAAGAATTCTGATGTACGAGTATAACGAATTTGACTTTATTTAAATTTTATTATCTATTATTTTATAACTATTGATTCGGTTTTTGAGAAGAACATATGGACACCCAATAATACCAATCTGTAATTAATAAAATGTCTATTGAATAAAAAACATTGAAATTTATTACGTTAGTTGAAAACTTGCAAAATCTCACATTATTCGGAAGCTGAAACTACTTGTTTATTTAAACACTTTACGAAAACAAATATTTTGTATTTACCATTACGATCATTGATAAAAAATATATTATTTATTTATTATTATCACTCACGAATAGCTGAATAATATAAAATAACTGTTAATACTATTAACACGCATATTAATTATAATCCGCCTGTATTATACTACAAAACACAACTATTTTTCGGGTTAACTATCGATAGCTTATTGACAAAGGTAAATGCTCAAAACGTACTTCCAAGGTTCAAAAATAAAATAAAAGTGGGGATTTGCAACTGAATATAACATGAATTCATTTAATGACGTATACTTTTTTTCAAAACAAACAAACTACTGAATTGAAAAAAGAACACACCTATTTAAATGAGTAAACAATAATATTCAATTCAACTAAACATCACTAGACAAAACTTGAATTAGTTTCAAGTGGTAGCCAAAAATGAACGTAATACAGTAATGTTAACTTAATAAATTTTTTTTATTATTGCAAATTAATTATAAATGAATCTTTAAAGTCGATTTAACTATATACGTGAATCTAGGTTGTTATAAGATATGTGTTCTGTCCAGTATTTATTTTTTACTATGTAAATTTAACTAAATGTCGCTTATTCAATAATTGGATTAGCATGAATTTTAAAAATAAAAAGTAAAAGTGTCAGTATTTTTTAAATTTAGTTAAAAATTATTTTAATGGTAAATCAAACATTTCAAATTCTATTAGTATTTGGAATGTCAACTGTATAATGTGTTAAATATTATGCAGTATCTGTTCCCACTGTAGTTTCTAACTCTAAATATTAATTTTCTATGATTATGTGTAGACACTAACCTGTAACTTGTCATTGATTTAATTAATTATTTTTGTACAACATACATAATATGCTTAGAATGAAATTTAGGATTGCAAAAAGTATTGTTAACATTTTTTATATAACATGTGGTATTTTTCTTATGGAAATTTGTTATTATTCATTTTATGTTCTATTGTACTATTGTAAAAATATTTTTACCAGTAACCTAAATATTATTTCTTAGATTTAATTTCATAGAATACTTAGTAGTTAATAATATCTATAGTTGAATAAAAATTTTTTAACTTTTTGTAAATTAATTTTATTTGAAATTTTTATTTTGATTCTACTGATAAAATTTATTGTAGAAACAGAGGATTGCTAAAAACATATTTTAAAAATAAAATCCGTTTAAAACATAAGTAAACAGTTAAAAACGTCCATAAGAAAAATGCAAATTTTGAAATTTGTAGTATTTTGAACACAATGTAATTAAAGGATAACAACTTTATTCAAAAATGATATGAGTAATGTATGACCAGAGTCATGATATTAATATTAATAATACAATATTAATAATTTACAAGCGCAATTGTGATACTTCATATAATCGCTTTTATTTTCGATAGAATCAGCTTATAAACTATGGAGTTGATGAAATAACATAATAATAGTGATCAGTTTTACATCCTTCTATTTCCTGAACTTGACATGCTACAGAGGGTGGTGGCTCTCTACCACGTGGTGGGAAGTCAATTATGGTTCTTGGCTAGGACAGTGATGAACGGGATGGATATTATGGTCGGCTTGCACTAGAGACCAGACACCACCAATGAGAAAATCACAAGAAAAATCTCATTAACACCTTAAGGATCAAACTTTAGACAATCCCATGCGTCAAACATATGTTTCTACCCACTAGGTTAGGCTCCTTTAGTTAACTGTATAAATCATTATAATATTTTAAATATTAGTAATGAGAAAATCACAAGAAAAATGTCGTTGACACCCCAGGGAGCCAACGAAACATAAGTTTCTACCCACTACTGACCTCTTATATTGAGTTAATATTATATAATTTTAAATTCTCTATACTCAATTTGCCGGAAATCTGGAAAGATACCAACAAATACACATCCAGATATCAATTGTATTCACCTACATTTTTAAAGGCACATCTATACTTATTTGGTCTAAAGTCGTTTTAAAGTTTGCTAAAAATTAAATAATAGTTTATTTTTAAAAATCTAAAACAGTATTTGATTATTAAATTAAACGATATCCAGAGTGAACAGATCTAACTGACAACTTTTATAACATTTAATATAATTAAATTTTCGCTAAAAATGTATTTGAAATAATGCATAAATTCTTTGGTAACGTTTAAATCATATTTTTTATTTGTTTTTAATAATATTAAATAAATTATTTAAATATTTTTCAAAATTTTAAAATAGTCAGTTTAAACTCCTTATACAAACATAATAAATGGGTCGATTTTAAGACAATTGTTTATTAAATTACAATTATTTTAGTAGATAGAGTGGGAATGTAGCAGAGGTGGAGTATTCATTATAAATATTAATGGAGGAGTGCCATTAGTTTATGTGTAGGTTTTAAAGGCCTTACTTGAAAAAAAATATATGCAGATATTCAGCATTATGAATTATAGAGTTGAAGATATTATAAAAAAATCCATTTCAGTGGGAATACAGCATAGCTGGGACAAGTATATATGATATCTAATTAAAACCACAATCAAACGCTTTGATGTGTTTCTATTAAATTTAACAAGAATTTGTAATTTTACAATTGCTTTGTTTTAAAATTATACTAAAATATTAAAAGCTTGTTAAATCGTCAGGACGTTTTTAATTTTTTTATCATAACATAATCTTAAAAATCATTAATTTTGATGCAGGTTTAACTTCAAACCTGACTTAAAAATAGCAGACCTTCCTAAACATTTTCAAAAATTGAAAACAAAATATTTTTTTATTTTGGCAAACGAATAATCATAGAAGAAAGTTCATGAATAAATTCAATTTTTTTAACATTAAGTATATTTCATAAATTTTAAATTAGTATACGTCTAACAAAATTTACATATTCCGAAACAGTTTTGAAAATTGAAATGATAAAAAAAAATTTTTGGATTTAAACCTTTAGTGTACTTAAGTTTTTCATTTGATTTTTGTGATAAGCATACCAAAAGAAATTTATTGTCTTTCATATATAATCTATTAATATTTCATAAGGATTCAACTATGTAAAATAAAGTTATCTCAAATTTAAAATGCAGAAACTAATTATTATTTTTGCCGTTTTTGACAACTGCTGAAATTTGAGATATTTTTCTATATTTTTAAATTCGAGGAAATTTTTACAATCTTTTGATTATGAAATAGATCTAGTTCAGGTTTTTTTGACATATAAATTATTAAAATTGGTGAGAGCTAAGATTTTTAATGGACAGACAAAAAAAAAAAACCGTACATAAAACCAATATATTTTAGTTATAAACAAAAAAATTGTTGTATCTAATAAGAAAAATAGTTTACGTCCTTGGTATGCAATGTATGTAGTGGTAAAGATAAGATATTTTTTTTCTAAAAAATTTAATTAGTCATTAAAGTACTAACAATAAAGATTAAAATAATGTAATTTTTATGTTTTGTAGTATAACTAAATACTGAAATAATTGCTGTTAATAGTAAAAAAAATCTGAAACGCTCGAAATTTTAATATTATTACAATATTTGTTTAAATATTATCTTTAATTCTAAAATCAAATATATTTTATAATAAATTATGTGGACTAATCCTAAATACTATTCGACGATGAAAACATGGTTTAATTTTGATTTCATGTATCATTATTCGTTAAGTTACATAGTAACATAAACCTATTCCGTTCATTCAAACTTATCAATAGACTTTAAGAAATTATTAACTGTTCACTCATTATTACGATATTGAAAAGCAAACACATTTTGTCAAAATGTGTTTTAATTGAAGTTAATTACTCACTCATCATACATTATAACATTGGTTGATAAAATATAAGTATGGTTCAGTAAATGGGAAGGGCATGTGCTTCTACACTCCTTCAAATACGCCATTGGCATAGGCCTACCTCGTACACAAATAAATATGCAAGAGTACTTACACGAAATATTTATATAGTCGTGAAATTTATGTGAAAAGTTAAAGTCAAATAATCTTTAAAAGGGGAGTAGAAATGTAATTGTACAATGACAAATAGGCTTTTTAGTCAGACTGTTTCTTTTGATTACTTTGTTAATTGCACATACAGTTAGTACTCAACATAAGTGTTTTTTGATATACTGTATTTGATAATGATATGATGTGTACACTCAGTGTCGTATGTGTTTGTGTGCATTTACCCCGCCCTTTAACGTTGAATGAAATCCCTATAATTCATTACGTTTAATGACAAAAACATGAAAATATGCAAATGTATATTATAAAATAAATTACTATACTATATTATTTCAGAGTTATACTTAATAAAGATGAATTATGAAAAAATGTTGTTTGGTTTGAACCTGNCAGAGTTATACTTAATAAAGATGAATTATGAAAAAATGTTGTTTGGTTTGAACCTGTTCAGGGAAAATTTTTAAAAATTTTTATTATGCTCTACGTGAAAAAAATATTGTTATTAATTCATTATTGTTTAATAATTAAAATCGAATAGAATAATGTTAGTGGGACAAAAAATAATGAAGAAACAAACGTTTAATGTATTTTCCAAACGATAACTATCTCAATTCGTTTAAACAAATGTAGTAAGTTTAAAAAAGAAAAGTTTTATTAAAGACTGTAATTTTAACTTTTAAAATGAAAAAACATTAATATTTCCCTAAATATTTAAAATATTAGTGTATTCTGAATAAATATATATATTTCTAAGTATACATTTTTAAGTTTTATGATGTATAATATATTAAAGATAATTGTTTTTTGTATAAAATTATCAAATTGGAGTTGCTATCCTTCTCTGCATAACGGATTATAATTCCTCGTCTTGGTGTATCAATGGTTATGAAAAATCTTTTTTTTTTGGCGAGGTTGCTATGGCCTTTATTAATGAGCATAAAAAGTTAAAAACAAATTATCAAATAATATTTTTAATGTGCTAAGTTTTGGATTAATAACAATAGGAGTTAAAGACTTTTAAAATTTAATTTAATACGACGGAATAATTTTCTAAAATTTTATAATAATTATAATTTTTCTGCTGTTCGTAAATAATTAAAATTTTTTAAAACATAAATATTTAATTTATTTACCATTATAAGCTTGTTTCAAATATTTTTGTACCATTATAAAGTGTGAAAAATTTCATTGTACTTACCGTTTTCTAAAATTAAAATAATTTTAGAAATTATAAGAAAAATATTCATTAGTACAATAATTATTTATTTACATAGTGTATGCTAAAATGTTACTGTACAAATATAAATACTTATTTTTTAAAATACTTTTTAAATTATTTTGTATCTCGTGACTTAAAACTATAAAAGACAATAATATCAATTAATAAGCAATTTTCGCTAAAATATAACATACAAAAACCGAAAACCCAAAAAAGTAAAATTATATAGATTACTTAAAATTTGAAATAGGCTGAACGTGATTGTCAGTACTCACATGGATATTCAAAGAGGTCCAACTATAATTTTGTGCGCCAACTCCAAAACGCCGCCCTCGTGGTAGTACGAATATCGAAACTGTACTTAAGAGACAGTGCGTGTTCCAATCTGGTCATCGAAGGTTCTTTAAAATTTTTTAGTACTAATAAAAAAATATTATACATGTTACGTAAAATCAACATCGTATAATTTGGTGATTCCGCTAAGCAAGTAAGTTTTTAGCCAACACAATTTTTATTATTTGTTTTTTTCCACATTGCTTTTTCTTAACAAGTTTATTTGAGGTTATATTTAATTTTATTTTTATTTCAAAAAAAATTACCTATGAAGTGCAACAAAATGGTAGAATTGTAAGAGGTAAACATTATTATTATAGCCGTGACAAATTTTTCTGATAATTTAAATTTGTTTACTAAGTATTAGTACTTTTATTTTTTTACGAAATCGTAGTGTTCAATTATTAATTTATTTAAAATGTTAAGCGATTTACAGAGCTAAATATTGAATACTAAAATATATTTTATGTGTATTTATCAATTAGTAATATACTTATTTTGGTGAGACAGTTAAAAATGTTTAAAGTGCTAAGTCATTTGTCACTTGGTATACATACTCGAAAGAAACATTTATCCAATCATCTTGGTTTAAAAGTTTCAAAATTATTCGCTTATGTCCTTTTGGATATTTCCTCTCATTGTAGGAAAATGTACATTGTTAATGAGGAAAAAACAACGACAAATAAATCCGTCGCCTTGACAAGTAAAATCCTTGGCTGTCTGTCAGAACGATTACTGTAACAGTCGCGACAGATAATTTAACGTTTTTCAAAGAGAATTTTTCCTAAAAGAGACGTATTATATAGTGGGGATTAAGGGGGGGGCACGCGTCATAATATTATAATAGTTNCTAAATATTGAATACTAAAATATATTTTATGTGTATTTATCAATTAGTAATATACTTATTTTGGTGAGACAGTTAAAAATGTTTAAAGTGCTAAGTCATTTGTCACTTGGTATACATACTCGAAAGAAACATTTATCCAATCATCTTGGTTTAAAAGTTTCAAAATTATTCGCTTATGTCCTTTTGGATATTTCCTCTCATTGTAGGAAAATGTACATTGTTAATGAGGAAAAAACAACGACAAATAAATCCGTCGCCTTGACAAGTAAAATCCTTGGCTGTCTGTCAGAACGATTACTGTAACAGTCGCGACAGATAATTTAACGTTTTTCAAAGAGAATTTTTCCTAAAAGAGACGTATTATATAGTGGGGATTAAGGGGGGGGGCACGCGTCATAATATTATAATAGTCTGAAAGTCATTAATTTCCGGTTGTGACGGATTCTTTACCATTTCCTCGGTTTATTCGCTCTTAAGGATTTGTAATTAATTTTTTTTATTTATTTCCTCGCGATAATAAATATTTTTAGGACGCGTTAGCAGTTGCGCGGAAAACTAACGCCATTAAAAAAATGATTCGGCCATTAGCTAACTGCCAGTTTTTAATGCTCGTAAAATGCACAATTACTTTTCCAATTTGTTATATCTAAAACAATACAGGCAAAAACCGTTCTTATAAATGTAAATTAAATTCCATTAAATAAATGTAAACTTTCAACTTGCAGTTTCAAAACATATAAGATATTTTGGTATATATTTTTTATGGTTAGGTTGGGTTATTATTTGTTAGTAACAATTAAAGAATTACCTTAGTAACTATTTTTACTATAATTACTAAAAACAATAACTATTCATTATACTGCATACGTTCCCATGGTTGAAATACAATTGTATTGTTTACTAGTATATATAACTTCGTTCTAAGTTTTAGCTTACGCATTTCTAACATTCAAGATACACTGCTAATCCCCTGCGACCTCTACTCCCCTTATAAATGCTTACATTTAACAGTATTATAACATTATAATGTGTATCTCTAATAACGTATACAAATAATTCACCAATAAAATACTATGATGACTGCATCATAAGTTCTGAATTATGTAATTGTGCAAAAAGTTACTTGACAATTTAGTGAATGTTGATTTCAGGTATCCTTAAAGAGGGGTTTACTCCTCTAAATTTTTGTTTACGCCCTAGGAATGCGTTTTGAAATTATTATTCAAGTTTATACATAGTTGACAATAAAGCTCCTGTTATATGTCATCAAATAACGTATTCTATTACTATTGACATTATTTGAAGCATTGAATTTGAAATCACTTATAAAGCTTCATTATTTTTTTTAATAATTGTTCATCTTAATAAAAAAAAAAAATCGAAGTAATATTGTATAATTCTTATATTAAATTGGTATAATTATTTAATTTTTAAGTTACATGTGTACAATTATTGTAGAATTGACAGAGCATTTTTAAAATGCAAAAATAAATATATTTTTCATTATAAACCTTTGCTTATTATTTTTATAGTATACCTATAAAATATAATAAAAAACTTAATGTTTATTCGATGACATAGTAAGNATTTTTATAGTATACCTATAAAATATAATAAAAAAATTAATGTTTATTAATAAAACACGTTGTTACAGTTCCGCGACCATTTTTTATTACCAAACAACGTATAACTGTATTTTAAATATTGTTTCTTAGTATTCATTTATTTAAAATTTATACCCTTTAAAAACGTCTAGCTTACATTTTACATCTTTCTACTGAATACTTTTTTTTTGAAAATGGTTTCAAAACGAATGCTACTTGTATTTTATTGCTTCGTAATTTTATTTTGTTTATTTAAAATAAAGAAGTATACTTTTTTTAAGTTATTCGAATTTATTACTTATTTGCTACAGTTATCAAATTGATAAATGAATAATTGTTAAAAATTGTTTAATGTTTAAATTCCATCGGTTCAAAAATAATTTAAAATCGGTTTTTATAGAAACTTTTTTATGTTGGCAATATTTTATTAGTCTCATAATTAGTTAATAATCGTATTTTGTAGATTTTTATGTTGATACCATTAATAACGATTTTTAATTAAAAATTAAAATTAATATTTTATAAATTATAATTTGGCCGTGAAAATCTTATTATACGCTCATAAATTGAAAACATAAATTGTACATTTTAATTATTTTCTTTATGATAATAATAATAAATAATTTATGTATTATTTATGCATACTATCAGATTTCACAATTTATATATCTCTATATAAAATGTTTTAACTTTTTAGTCTTTTTTTATTGAACGGTTTTTAATCAATTTTGGCGTTAGATAATTTAGTGAATTCTATTTTTACTAGAACATTGATGACATAATCAGATGACAACTCTACTTGAAAATACTTGTGGTTTTGACAAACATTTAACTTTATTTAATCATTTTTTTAGACATAACGTTCAGAACTTCAGTAATTAAAATAAAATATTGAATATTAAAAAAGTATAAATAAAATGAAAAGGTTTCCATCATAATATTAGTGAATCCAGTTTACTGGTATTCGTATTATTTAATAATAGATTTATAATTTAATATGAACATTTGTTTCAAAAATTTTAAATTAAACCAAAAACAGTATAATGAATTTTTTACACTCGATGATGACAAAGTACTACATATTAGATTGGATTCATTTTTATATCAATACGCTACATTGAAAATTTCAATCTAAAAGGATATTCTCTTTTGTTTCACGCATAATTTTAATAAATAAGAAAAAAATAAACCTTCATTGTTATGTTTTAAGTTATTTATTCTAGTATCTTAAGAGTTCTAGATATTGGATTAAAATATCCTAGTTGGATTTTAAAAGCTAACCTCTTATTCTCTAATATGCTTTTTAAATCAATATTGACATAATAATATTCTAAATTTTATTGTAATTTTGAATAAATGATCAAGTTCTAAATATCTCTCAACGTTTTATTTTAGTCGGACATTTAGGATAAGTAAACGCAAATTATGTTTCTAAACATTATTGAGATATACTTTAATTTTAAAACAATGGAATCTAGAAGTAATATTAGGCGTAAAAAGTGCAATTGAAAATCAGAGTTTGGTATTCCCTTAAGATATCTTATAGCTTTTTTTATTTATAAATAATAGACGTTTTGTATGTATTAGTCAAATTCGATTGAATTATTTTTATTAAAAACTTGGATAGAATAATTTTATTTTACATAATCATGACAATATTATTATTTCACTGATAATGAAATAGTGTTAAAAAAATTTAAAAAAACCCAGCACAGGGGGGTCGCGGCACAGTGGTGCCGTGGTATAGTTGGATCAAGTATAATGATATCTGACAGTGATTAAAATCACTATCAAAAATAAACGCTTCCATGCAAATCTTTAAATTGTGTTTACTTTTAAAAAAATGATGTATTATTCCAAAAGCTACATGATCTGCTAGTACCTTATTAATATCCTGATTAAGATAAAGTATGTCGCATGAAAAAGGGATTATTAAAAAATATTATTTCTCATGAAAAAATTGTGTTGATCCATACACTTTTCAATAAATTATATCATTATAAAGTTAAAAATGTAAAAAATAAAATCAAGAATTTTCACACGGAAATAGTTTTTGGTAGCCATTTTTTCCGTGAAGACATGTCCAGAGGTCAAATTTTTTTTTTTTAAATTAAAGTATATTACATAAGCTTTAATTTAAGATATATATAAAAGTGTCAAACCTTCTGGAACATTTTCNAATCAAGAATTTTCACACGGAAATAGTTTTTGGTAGCCATTTTTTCCGTGAAGACATGTCCAGAGGTCAAATTTTTTTTTTTTTAATTAAAGTATATTACATAAGCTTTAATTTAAGATATATATAAAAGTGTCAAACCTTCTGGAACATTTTTAAAAGTTAATTTTTTGTGAAAAAGTTGTCTTTTTAAATCCGCCCCTGTGAGCAGATAAAGGGTCAGATTTACAAAAAAAAATATATCAAATGTTAAGTAAAGACATCAAGCATCTATATAAAAAAAAAATAATATTGATATGTTCATTTTTAAAAAAGTTACGGTAGCTTTAAGTAAAAAAAATTTCGAAAATATGCGATTTTTAAGTTTGTAATTTTTTTGAAGGTTTCCCCCATTAACGTGGAACGAGGGAAATTTTTTCAATTTTTTAGGGTAATGTCTTCGACTAGATACAATTTGTGATCTTTTGATGTATCGTTGAAAGAAATCCGTTCGGTGAGAGCTAAGAAAAAGTGGTAACAGACACAAAAATAAAAAAATAAAGAAAAAAACACATCATAGTAAAACCAATACCTTCTCAGCTTCGCATCGAATCTAATAGGAAAAATTGAAATAAAATTTAATTTTTTTAGGTATTTTATTTTAAGGTTTTTTAATTATTTAGTAAGTCTAAATTTTAAGAAATTTTTAAATGTAAATAAAGAATATTTTCATGTTTATACTCTTATTAACTTCAAAAAATATTCAACTTCTTAATGGTTTTAATTATTTAAATGCTAATCAATTGAAGAGTTTTGACTGTATAAACAAAAACAATTCATTATTTTACTCATGCATCAATAAAAAACAATCGTTTTCTACTCGTTTCAAAGTTCAAACATATGAATTTAAATTTTAAATATTTATAAACTTGAGTTTTTTCTTTTTTTTTCATTCCTTATTATTTTAAAATATTTAAATATTCCCAAAAAAATGAATGCAAACATTTTTAAACAATAATGTAGATAAGGTAATTTTTTATAATGAGTGTAACTAATACAATATCGTTTGTAATACACCACACATCTTAATTTAATAATTTCAATAATTGAAATTCATAATTATTATGAATTATAACAGAATAATAATAAAATAATAATCATTTTTAAATAAATGTACAACGACAAATCATTGAAAATTTAAAATATGGACTTGCGTCTTTCACGTTTTGAAAAATAAACACCAATGTCATACAATCAAGATAAATCAATTAATTATTTCTGTAAAGGACCCAAAAGCCATTAGAAAGATTTTCACTCAAGAAAATATAAGAACCGTAAAAGCAGTGTTTAACTCCGCATGTCGATACCGTAAATATCCTATCGGCCGTTGAACTTTGTAAGTATATGAACATTTTTGTACCCTGTGGGTGGTTGTTCGAAGCTATAACTCACAGATCGTAGACTAAGTCAATGGCCTATATACAGTACACGGGCATTCCAAATATTAGCAATATGGCTGGGCACCCTTAGGTACTTAGGGTAAAGGACACAAGGCTCGCGATCGTATGTAGAACGACCACATATTTACAGTGGATCAACCACAGTAGGGCTTTTATGTACGTTCGATTAGCATTATGAATACCTCTGCAATCCCTTTAAAACCTCCCTGATTTACCATCAAACCGTTATCGGTAGTAATTTAACCCCTTCTAGATACTTATTTTTCAGTCAACACACTGCAACTGAGTTACTGTACACATACGTTAAATTGACCATCTACGCATTGATATTTGTTTAAAAGCGAACAAAAAATGTGTCTTAAAATTTGTAGTTATCTGATAGTTAATCGTTACAATTTATTGATTTGTAATTTTAACATTTTTTATTTTTAATGAAGAAATGATTTAAAAATTCACACGAAATAATAAGACTTATCCATTATAACTAATAATAATAGGTGTAATAACTTGTATAGTATTAGGTTTAATTTACACTATGTTTCGTAAAAAAAAAATGACCCTTATATATTTTGAATAAATCATAATAGTATCATTGAATTTAGTTTTTAATGAATCATCATATTATCATCTCAGAAAAAATGTTGTTCAATTAATATACATAAATAAAAATTTGACATCAATAAAATAATTAACGTTGAATAAATCAAAAACTCTGTGTAATTCTTATCTGTTTTCTGGAGTTTGTTGTAATCTTTTGATTTATTTTACAGCTCATATTACTTTTTCTACTCATTATTTTGTTTCATGTTTAATATTTTCTTAAAGACATAACATTAAACAAAAAAAAATTTAATAATATTGCTTTAAAATTTATGCAAATGTGATGAAGATTAAATTGACTGAATTCTTTGTTGTTTAAGCAAATGTGGTTCAAATGCCAAATGACCCTTAAAATGTTTATTTCGTTAATTTACATAGTTCCATGTAAGAACGAATATAGAAATTAGGGAAGAAACAACAACAATGTATGTAATTAATATTCATTAAAATGCTTTTCTCACTCGGTGTGAGATTAAATATTCCCAACATCATTCGGCGGTTATAGTGTTAAATTCAAAATACCTAAAGTCTCGTGAACATTATGCGGTGATAACTCAAATTTTTAAATATCCATCTCAGCTGTAGCTATAAAACTTAACAATTCATGCTAATAACTGTTATATAACATGTATACATTTTATTTTAAACACAATTATTTCAATGGACCTTAATAATAATTTATAATAAAAATGATCATCATTAAATAAATTGATTATAAATATTTATTGTTCTCAGGTTTTGATTGAAAAAGAAGTGTGTCTTCTGATAACAGTTACCGGAATTAAAGTATGCAGTACAGATGGAAAGGTAAATATTATAAAAATTAAATAATTAAACCCTATACGTTTACATGGTTAAAATACGCAATTTGAAACATTAAACAGTTGTTTATTAAACAGAGAAATTTAATAGAATTTTCAATTATTTTTTAAACATTATTTGAAATCCTATGCGAAGCTGAGAAAGTGTTTATTTAATGTTTTTTTATAATATTAGGCACGAGTGATCAATTTCTATCATATTCTTATTATATTTGTTGGACATTTTTTTGCAGAAAGAATTAATTAATCTTATTATCAATGGTGTAGTGAGACTTTCATAAAACGGGACCCAAGGAAAAAAAAATTACCAAATTCCATGTTTTGAATATTTTTTTTGCTCTTCATTTCATTTTATAAATTAATATGGCTGTCAATGGGGTGGGGTAGTACCAACTAAGTTTCTCCATTGACTAATATAAATATAAAAAAATGTAAAAATGTAAAAAACGTAAATGAAAATATAATATTAAATAAAAACATCTGTAAACATTAATGTATTTCCTCTTTTAATAACTTTATTAGAAGATTAAATATATTACTTATATTATTTGGTCACTTTTATTCGTTTGAACTCAAATAACTATAATAATTTCATTTTGAGAAAGCATTTATCTTATAGTGAAAGTTAATGATTTATGGCTAAATCGTTCATTATCTTTTATTAAAATAGTAATTTGTTCGATTCTTCATCTACTATAACTTTAATCTCAGAATCTGTACAAAAGAAAAGGGAGAAAGAAATAGTAGGAGGTATACTTTCGAGGGTTACGAGTTCCACAAATCGTGCCAAAACCCTCAATTCATTTACCCCCGACCTTCTCTTCGGCAATAAGATCAATTTACTGAAATGTGTTTCACCACCACCAAGTACTTGAATACTGTCTGGTGGAACGACCTAACACATGACTTTATATTTTTTGTTTCAATGCTGATTTGATTTGCACTTTGTTCGGATTAAACAAAACTTCCTGATAACATATTGAGATATTGACATATCTTTTTCAAAATCGCAAAAGCTGATACTGCTATTCTATCAAAAAAAAAAAAAAATTGCTTTTGTATTGCACAAAAATAAATTACTAAGTCAAATTATTAAGTTTGTTGAAATATAGATTTGTTAATTTGAATAAAAAATATATATAGGAAATTTTGTACTAAGGTTGGATATAAAATATTAGTATATTCTTTTTTTATGTATTTGATTGAAAATAGAATATTTGGGATGTAGTGAAATATTGTTTATCATTTTTTTTTGATAAATTTTAACTTTAAAAATAAAGGCTAAAAATGAATTGTTTATTATTAAATCGAATTTCTGAGTTTACTTGATTGTGTAAAAATAAAAAACGAATGATGAATATTAGTTTTAATATATATACTGTTATACGATTTACTATCATCGTTCCCGTAGTCTCAATTATCGATGTATTTTTTTGTAATGTTCATTGTGTGCTTGTAGTCTCCCGCATAATACGTTTTTCTTTTTATTTCGGTTTTTTTCATAGCGTCCGAACTTTTAAGCCTTACGTGGGATCAGTAAACCGTTACTCTCTAATGAAATTGCCGACAAACAATGTGCGTAACAAAAAGTACAATGGACTCGTTTGTGATAGTTTGCAAAAATTTTTTTAATGAATCCGGGATCATCGCTGACAGTTGACCACAGTAGGATATAAGACCGGAGAAAATTGAATAATAGTTTTGGTATTGTCTAAAGATGATAAATATACGGGGATGTTGCAATGTAATTAAAAGCGTTCCCTCCCGTGAAACTTCTAATTATATTTCGACTTCCTTTATTGTACAATGTACATTCAGCAGCATTCATGTTTATATTATCGTTATGAAAAGTTTAATCCCTTCAGTTTATAACAATGATATAATTGTATGGTTCTATGTATATTATTAAACTTTTAAAGGTTAAATATGATACAAATATCAGTAGAATTTTTATTTGATTAATTCGTTTTAACATAAAAATGTCTATTTATTTATATCAAATATGACTGACTATATGTCTAGTGCTTATGATTGTAAAATTGTTCATAAAATACACGCATAAATTAATATTTTAAATGCATCTTTTATTTTAAATAATATTAGCCACACGTAATCAATACTTACTATATAAATATATCAAAATTACTTTTATAATCCTGTGTGTTTATTAATAAACTTAGAAGATATTTTGACTGACGTTATAATTGATCCAATTCGCTAAAAGTATTATTTTAATTCTTTTGGATTATTAGAGTTTTTTGAACTTCAGACAATAGTGTTAAAAATTGAAATAGTCGCAAATAATGATTATCTTACAAACATCTAGAAATAATTGATTGTCTTAATTAAGAATGATTTTGTTTGTGTAATTTTACTATGATATGCTAGTGTAAATCTAATCGCTGATATAAAATTAAATCGTGCCAACAAAAAATATAAATTTACATATTTTTTTTCGAAAAAATATCAATATTGAGGTCGATTAATGACCATATTTAAGATACATATAATGGAATTGTTCGTATTAAATCTCAAAAAAGGGTTCATGTTAGAAGAAAGTAACAATATGATGGTGGATTTACCTGAGTATCGTTTTTCCTTTTTGCGATCTCTAAAGCAATACATTCTACATCATTCAGGGTTGTGGACCACTATCGTTAATTAATCAACACGTCAAATGAGAACGATACTACCATCAATCAAAGCGCCTCCCCCTTTACTGTTCATACTGCAAACAACTGTTTACGCGTAGATAAGCAAACTATACCGTTATCACTGATTCGTTAAATTCAATTAGAGACAGCTCACTAAGTTCGATTTACCCCTTAAATTCTGAGTAGTAGTAAGTGCATAATTTTTTTAAAACAAATATAATATGTACAAAATATTTTATACAAATCATTTTCGATGTTAAAAATACAATCCCTAAAATTTATAAGTTATTCTTAGTGTAGTATTAGTACCATTAATAAATTAATAACAATTGTATTTAAGCGTACATATTCCTCAGAGGAATAATTCAATTTCAATCAAAAGTTTAAGTATATTATTACCAGTGATAACGTTTATCACCACAATGTGTTATTTTAAGTGCTATTTAGTACTTAAAAATATTGTTTTTAGTGCATAAATCATGGTTTTTATTTGCACCAAAATGGCAAAAAAATATATATATATATAAAATGATATCACAGTGGAGTCGCGACACATTATAATAGGTGGGATAGTTGGGACATGTATAGATTATAGCGGACGGTGATTTAATCAGTGTCATAAGAAACGCTGCGATCCAAATCTGTTGATAGTGTTTAATTCTAAAAAATTGGTGCATAATTACAAAAGCAACATCAACGTCTATTTCTTTATTTAAGCCCTGATTAGTAGTTCCTAGATTTCAAAGTTAAATTTATGAATAATATGACAAACATGTTGAAAAATTAAAGGACTTCATGCAATACTTTATAAAAAAAATTTGTTTTACTTATGATTAAATACATTGGTCTACTTTCATCCGAATCAAAAATATACTTTTCGAAATCAACTTTTTGCACTGTATTCAATCTGAAATTAGACTTTTCCTATTACTTATAAGTTTTGATACTATAACTAATTATTAAAAGATACGTTTTTGCACATAAAAAAATAATTAAAGACATAAAAAAAATTGTTTTTAAATTATTACAAATTTTGATTTTTAATATGTAAAATAATCAGAGCAACATATTATTTTTAACAAATTTATTTTGTCTTTTAGTTGATTTTTTAAAAGTTTATAATAAAAAAAAATTGAATTTGTTGCATGACATTTGGCTCAACTTGCAAGTTTGAAATTGACATCATTAAATAGAAAATGATATGAAAATTGAATAATGTTATTGTTAAGATTAATATAAAGTCAGGAAATTTTATAATTATTATTTACAATAAATTATTAAGTAAATTAATAAGCTCAATATTTTTATTGTAATAAATCACTTAAATAGAAATTATAGTTATCATTTCTAAGTAACATAGTATTTTTATGGATTTACTAAAATTTGAGCATTTTTATGGCTTCTCTAAAACATAGCATTTCTATGGCTTCTTTAAAATTTGTGCATTTTTGTGGCTTCTTTAAAATTTGAGCATTTTTATGGCTTCTCTAAAACATAGCATTTCTATGGCTTCTTTAAAATTTGTGCATTTTTGTGGCTTCTTTAAAATTTGAGCATTTTTATGGTTTCTCTAAAACATAGAATTTCTATGGCTTCTTTAAAATTTGTGAATTTCTTTGCCTTTTTTAAAACTGAGTATTTCTACAGCTTCTTATATTTTTTATAATTTTTTGATTAGTTATGTTTCTCCATTTAATCTAAATAACAAAGATTTTCAATGATGGATTATAAAATAAAATCTCTTTAAATTGACAGAGAAAGAATTCTCAAAAGAATATAAAAATCGCGTCATTTTTTTTTTTTTTTTAATAGTTAATAATATTAAAATTGTATATATTTCTACATTCTTGATAATTTGTCCTATTACAGTACTAATATGATGCTAAAAACACAAAATAAGCTAAATAGTATGTCGAATAAATAAAACTTTGAACTATATAACAATAATAATTATACAACATATAGTTTTGTTTTTTGGTTTTGTGACGTTCACCGACTTCTGTGCAAAAATCTAACAAAATTGCATTCATCATTAGCCGAGGTCTTTGAGATAGAAGCATATTTGAATTTTATTGTAAATGGCGCCTATTATAGAATATTTATAAAATAAATATTTTACCAATTATTTATTTACTAAGTTTTGATCCTCAACTGTAGAGGAAATGGAATAAAAAAATTCGTAAACTAGTAGTATAGGCAATGATATTTTAGCTTCGATTTGAAGCTGAGAAGGTATTGGTTTTATTATGATGAGTTTTTTTTTTTTTTGATGTTACCACTTTTTCTCAGCTTTCACTGAACGGATTTCTTTCAACGATACGTCAAAAGATCACAAATCGTATCTAGTCGAAGACATTACTCTCAAAAATTGAAAAAATTTCCCTCGTTCCACGTAAATGTGGGAATCCTCCAAAAAAATTACAAATTTAAAAATCGCTAATTTTTTCAATTTTTAGCTTCGATGCGAAGCTGAGAAGGTATTGGTTTTACTATGATGTGTTTTTTTTTTTTTTTTGTGTCTGTTACCACTTTTTCTCAGCTCTCACCGAACGGATTTCTTTCAACGATACGTCAAAAGATCACAAATCGTATCTAGTCGAAGACATTACCCTTCAAAATTGAAAAAATTTCCCTCGTTCCCCGTAAATGGGGGAAACCTCCAAAAAAAAAAAAAATTTAAAAATCGCTAATTTTCGAAATTTTTTCAATTTTTTTTACTAAAAACTGCCGTAACTTTTTCAAAAATGAANATTTTTTTTATATTTTTAACTAAAAACTGCCGTAACTTTTTCAAAAATGAACATATCAATATAATTTTTTTTTATATAGATGCTTGATGTCTTTACCTATCATTTGGTATATTTTTTTTGTAAATCTGACACTTAACCTGCCCACAGGGGGGGATTTAAAATGACAACTTTTTCACAAAAAATTTACTTTTTCAACATAACTTTTGAAAATGTTCCGGAAGGTCTGACACTTTTATATATATCTTAAATTAAAGCTAATGTAATATACTTTAATTTGAAAAAAAAAAATTTGACCTCTGGACTTGTCTTCATGGCGAAAATGGCTACCGAATGCTTTTTTCGTGTGAAAATTCTCGATTTTATTATTTATATTATATTTAACTTTATAATGCTATAACTTATTGAAAAGTTTATGGATCCACACAATTTTTTTATGAGAAATAATATTTTTTAATAAACCCTTTTTCATTCGATATACTTTACCTTAATCAGGATATTAATAAGGAACCAGCAGATCAAGTAGCTTTTGGAATAAAACACCAATTTTTTTAAAATTAAACACTATCTAAAGATTTGCATCGAAGCGTTTTATAGTGATTTTAATCACTGTCAGCTATCATTATACTTGTCCCAACTATGCCACATCATATCTGTGCCGCGACCGACCTGTGCGGGGTTTTTTTTATTACAGGTTTATTTAGTCATAGAATAACATTAAGCTCAAAGTCAATAAAATGGTTTTAAATACAGATTAATGTTTTTCAATGTTCAAAGTTACAAATAAAGTTTACAAATTCTTTTATACAACATATTTTAAGTCATAATTTAAAAATATTATGAATGAATCAACACTTAATACAAAGGGTACATTAAAGATTTAATTGGAGAGTAGACATAGAAAAAAATGAAACTTTTGAGACTTTTTGACCATGTACTTATTGAAGAATTCAAGATTGGTGTATTGAATACAACAAAATAATTATCATTTCAATAATAGTTAATTGGGATATAAGCTTTTTATATCGAGCCGTAAGACTGCAAATCTTGTCTCTATTGAACAAGTCAATGAGCAAAATGTATTAATTTAAATAAAGTTCATATATCATAGTGAACCTCATTACAATGCACGGGTATAGGACAATGAAACAAGTAAAAGAGGAACCGGGAAAAGCGTTGTACAAGTTACTAATAATACGTAATTAAAATGATATGCAGGCTTTACCTAATAAATGACCAACAAGGCTTGATTGATAGAATGATAAAATGAAAGTTAAACAACCATTATGATAAGTAGCGACATAAACAAAATTGACATGTATGTGGCTGCAAAGAGATTATCAAAGTACATTTGAACAAAACAGTCAACCGACCCAACGACGATGATTACATATCATTAGATTAGAAGAGGAATGACGCTGATATTAGTATGTGGATATTTGAGTGACACCTGGAACAGGTAGACTTCATTGGCAGGTACTGTAATGGTCAGCTGGTCGAACTTCTTATCGTGATGGCCAGATTGTAGTGAACGAATGATAATACTGTACAAGGGAAATTATGTAGGGGAGTGCAATAATAAATTATTATAATAACAATTTAATTAAGTTATTGTACAAAGTTAACATCTCACATAAAATAACGATACATTATCAATTGTTTAGCAGATATACTTAAGATTTAAATATTATTAAATAATAGTAGGTCAATTTTTTATGACGCATTTTTCCAAAACAAATTCATATCTTACGTAGGTGTCTCTAGTGACCTTTCAAAAATATATATTAAAGTGCTGGAAGTTATGACCCTTGAATATTACTGTTAGACTAACTATAAGGTTTCATGTCCAATATAAACATTTTTATAGTATGTTTTAACGCAAGCCATAAACGATTTTCTAAAGTTCATCCCTAAGATTTATTTGAAGAATAAATGTACACTAAGTCCCCGACAGACTTAACGTAATAACAACAAAAGATTTCTGATAGTAAAAATATTTCAAAAAATTAAACCTACCGTCTGTCAAATGATTAAAGAAGACTGAGTAATGTGGTACAGAGAGTAGCTGAAAATTCTTTAGACAAGCACATACATCCTGCCCCTGTTTATTTTCGTGTCTACGCCTAAACGTACGGCTGAGTGCATGAAAATGTATTTTATTATTTTTTTGCACACCCTATTTCTTATAAACATCACATAGAAATAAATCGTATTTCTTACGTCGTCTGTATTGCTAGTTGTAATGTCAGTGAAAGCTTAAGGGAACGACAATCCGGCTATATGAATAATGCATATGCTGTTACACGGGAATCACTGTTTTTCTAAGCTTTTTCTTCTTTTTAATATACAATATTGTACTTCGAAATGCGCCGTGTCCAGAAAAAAATGTTTGCTTAAACGTCTTACTCGTGGGATATACAAATAAGGATATTTCAAAACAAATAAGATATTATATTCTATACTTACTTTTTTACGATTAACTGCAACTCCGTTAATCGATAAATCATATAATTTTATCTAAAGTGTTTGATAAATAAAATTACATTTGAATAAAAATATTTTTAAGAATATTTTCGAATTTTAATTTTCTTTTTTTCATTTGAAGTTGGTTTTCTAAAAAATTTGTAATTCGGAAATCAAATAAAATTTTATTTTGATTTCGAATTATTAATTTTCTAAAACTCTTTTTGAATATAACACATCGAACCAATTAATTTTTTCAATTTTATCATTGAATGAAAATGTAATTTTAATCGACACTTTGACGAAACTTTAATTGCAGTCGAAAGTGTTCTTAGAGTAATGCACGTGGAAATAAAAATAAATTATTTAATAATATTTATTAGTCGGAAACTGTGTTATTAAGGGGAAATGAAAACATCACTTGAAAAATCGATCGCCTGGTTGTCGCCAACGCGGCTCTCTATCACATCACATCTACAGCGATAGAAGGAAATTAGCTCATTTCCTATACTATACCAACTGTTTACGGCATAATCAATATTGCTCCAACTAAACATCAATTTCGATAAATATTTTGATCGATAAATAGGATAGTTAAAAATTATGAATATTTTTAGGTGTTAATGGCCCACGGCCTCAAAAGGATTTCGTATGCCACATGTGATCCCAGTTGTAAACAGTTTTGTTTCCTGGCAAGACAGCCTGGTGACAACATCAATAAGCAGTACTGTCATCTGTTCGTTACTAAAACGGCCGATCAGGTTTGTAGATTTATATTTTATTCGCAAATTGTTTTGCTCTTCAAACTGATAGTCGTTAAAATGCAAAATGCAATGGTTACAAGCCATAAAATACATTTTGGGACTTGACAAACGAGTTATAAATCTCTTTGCGTTTTGTGAAGAGAAATAAATGTTATCCGGTGACATCGTTCTATCTGAAGTTTCGTCGTCGAGAGCAGACGAATTTCATTCATAAAACATAACAACCTAAATTCAATCAGCATTTTATCGGTTTCCGTTTTAAATTGCCACTGAAGATAAACATACGGCTCCGTTTACATTTACCATTGTTTAATTGAATTTTTATCAACACTTTATTAGCTAAATGAATTACAGCAATACATTAATACCGGCTTATATTACCATACGTTTGTTTCAAGCAAAATAAATTTATAAGAATAGTGTGTGTGTGTAAATATATTTCAACTGCTTGCTACACATAGTTTATACCCGTTTAAAAATAAAATAAATTGATTTTTATGATTATGAGCATATAATATATTTTATTAATTTTGCTAACTGAGATTTTGAAATCATTATATTTAACTGAAAATCTTAAATAGAATTTTTTATTTTTTACACTTTGTGTAGCAAGTAGTTGAAATTTATTTACACTCCTATACTATTCTTATAAATTTATTTTGCTTTTAGATTAAACATATGTATGATAATATAAATCAATATTAATTTATTGCTCCTATTAATTTTGCTAATAATGTGTTTATAAAAAAAATTCTGTAATTTATTTCTTAACGGTAATTTGCACCGTGTCACATTACTCAAATTTTCAAATGTAATTATTATCTTTCTGGAGTACAACTTTCGACTAGATTTAAAAAATCATAAAGATTCAATTATCTTAAGTAATTAATTACTCTGTTAAATATCGATTTTGATTATACTAAAGTAAAATACTTATATGACGTCAATTCTGATAAATATTCATGTATCAAATTATTTTTATTTAATAATCCATTCAGCTAATTTGTTTTTTTTCTATCGTGTATAATTACCAACATCCTAAAAATATTTTATTTATATTTTTAAGAACCGTATTTAGAAATTAAATATATATATATATATATACCAAAAACAGGTTTTTTGTAAATTAAATTACCAATGCTTCCAATAAAATTTAAATTAACTCTTAGCTAATATGAAAAAAAAAATGAAAAACTTTGAAATTAAGAAAATTATGATAATTAGGGTCTCTAATAAATTCATGTATATGATACTATTATTAGACATAGAAATAGTCATTAATGAAATTAAGCTAATTCTGCATGTATATAGCTCTGTTTTTTATTTGGCAGTAAATATTTATGCATTTTTTAAAAAGAAAATAACTATCCAGCCATTAGAATATGTTATCAAAAACCATTTACTTATATATAATGTATAAACTTGATTAAGAAACATGTAAAATATTTAATTTTAGAATACCAAGTCAGGATAGAGTAACGTTATTTTTATACTAAACAAGGTCACCAATTATCTTACATAAATATATAACGAATGAATTTTTGTTTTGTTCTTTTTGAAATTTTAAAAATTATATGAGTTATTTATAAATAATACGATTATTATGAAAATTAGAACGGTTGTATTGCTTTACAAATAATTTAACTTTTAAAGTTTCGTAATATGATTATAGCTTTTGATATTCGGCTACTTAACATACACTCTTATCTAAAAATATTTGTTACTAAAATATTAAGTGTTCAAATTTTTTCGTTTTTTATTTTGCGAATGTTTAAAATTTTCTTTTATCAGATTGCATACTTATTTGATAATGCAGTCATTCTATTTTAAATGTTTTACTAATCTCTCTTTGCTTATACATAATGCTTAATACATTTGTAAAATTTTAACTTATTGAATAACAACATTATTAACGATACGGTAAATTCTCGAAATATTTACTAATTAAGTTTCGTTGGAATAAAAAAAAAAATACATAAAAATGCAACCAGAAACCGGTCTAAAAATATTAAATAAATGAGACCAATAACTAGCGGTCTAAATCTTCATCTGTCATATGGCTATGGTCGTGTAGGATGTAATAACACGGTAGAAATAGTTGTGCCGCAGGTTAACATTTTTTGTTTGTAACAAAAAAAAAAAACATTCTTTAATTACAGTCGAGAAAAAAGTGTTTGTATGTACCTAACCAAACAGGGCTACTGGTTTTTTTTATCCGTTTTCTTTACCCTCATATTCTGAGTAAACTGATAGATAAATTTGAAGAATACTGTGGAAATTATAAATACTATTTAAAAAATTTATTTTCATAACAATTATGTTCTATTGAAGACGTGCTTTTTTTTTTGTGGTAACCGTGATCATATTACTATTTATATGTAATGCACAGAAGTATTTGTTTTTATCGAATAACAATTATAACTTTAGCCAAAATAAAACCATCTATAACAGGAATTGAAAAATTGATTCTACTTGACTAATAGTTGTAGTAGCTCTTGGTAAATATTGAAACAAAAAATACAATGCGTAGGACAATACCTTAATTTATCTTATTCCAACATGATTATAGGCGGTATTTAATCACTTAAATCATCATACTTTGTATAATTTTTCAGATCACTTTAATTTTAAATAACCAAATCATTTTTTTGTCGGTAAATAGACAAAAAATTTCAAAAATTCGTGTGCATACGAATTTAAGAGAAATACTAGTAGTGATTTGGCCTCTTCGTATCAAGTTTCTCTAATAAAAAAAGTTATAACTAAACTTCAAGGTCATATTTCAATAAAGTATCGAGATTAATGCTAAATCGGACTTACATGCATTAATTTTTACTCAGATCTGAGGGCACTTATTAAACTCGACATAAAATATAATGAATTCGTCAAGCATTTTGAACTAGTGTCCCGAGCAGGTCATCTGTGAAATATCAAACTTGTTTAAAATTGTATATGAAATTTACAAAAATGTTACATAAAAGGTTTTCTTTGTCATTAAACTTCATATTTTTTTCGGTAACATAATAATTTTAGGTATCTTGAACATTTAATTCATGTTAAAATGTTGGAAATAACTCGTATATTTCTATATTTAATTAATTTCATCAATAATGTACATTTACAGAATTAAAAAAAATATAATAAAATTTAAATATTTAGAGTCTTAACAATAACATTTATCTATTTTACTAAATCAATCTATTTAATTTCGAATGTTTTGAATTCAGCTATGTGAAAATGATTAAACTACTAGAATATCGTTGATTTATGTTTTTTCCTTAAGACTTAAAGAGGTGTCGTAAAAAACCACAAAAGTATCATTTATCAATGCTTTGTATGTTATGTATATATCATACTATTGAAAGGCCATCTTGATCCTTTATGGTCCATTTAGATTTCAATTGATAGTTGTGTTGCGGTGAGATTATGTTACCTGCCGACATTGTCCGTCCAATTCCAACCAATGTGTAAAATGATTTCTTGTAGTAAATTTGAATTTTCTTGCGCATCGTCTTTAACGCCATTAATAATATATTAGTTTATGGCTTTTGCATGGAATTGTCAAATGGTGTGTTAATACCCCAAACAAAAAATCATTCATAAATTCCATCGTTCAAACCTCATAATAGAAATGCGTTCCGCACGATGATTTTATTGTTCAATTCGTTTTTTTCTCAAACCAACAACCAGTTAATCTACTGCGAGCACTTCACATACTTTGTCGGTATGTAGACATAATATTTTTGTAAGTATTAAACATAAATATAGTACACGTATAGCGCATAAAGGTACACAATATTGTACATTATACTCTTTTTATTTTTTGTAAAATAAAACATTGACCATACCAAGAATTTAAACGTTAAATAATATTTTAGTAAAAATCATACTCCACTGAAATCTCAAGTATTTAGGCTGTGTTATGTCCACACTTCAAACTTTTAATCATTCGAAAGCGATTTTAAGACGCCTGAGAAACACCATTTGTAAAATGTATTCAAGATTTTTCATGGGTATTTTGTCTCCAGTACCGATTGTAATTTTCATTTTATGCAGCATCATGTAAAATAAAAACGTACACGAAGTAGTGCCATGTCATATGAATAAAGTAATGTACGTTTTTTAATCAGGTGTTATGTCAAGGAATGTGCTTTGTAGAAAATGTTATTTTTATTGAATTGTATTTTTGTCACAAATGAGCAAAAATATTATCTTAACGTGTTTGGTGGTACTTTTTTACAAGAAAAATTTTAATCGTAATGAAATCATGTACCACTTTTTTTTTTCTAAGGCTTATTATTTTGATTATTTTAAACAAATGTATTATTTTTACTTTCTTAGACGAAATTAAATCTACACTTGCTATGTAATATCAAAATTGTTGAACAAATAAACGGTTTCTTAAATTACTTGATGTGCTTCCCTGAGAAAAATTATTTTGTAATACGATCTTATGAATGCTTCACCTTTAACGAAGACATGAACTTCTAATTTGTTTATTTTTATCAAATTTCGAGGGCATTTTAACGTTGAATCAGTAAAAGTCCAGGAAGCCTTAGTTTAAAAAAAAAAAATTCTATTCTGTTGACTGGTGTGAACGTACCCAGATATGCCGGAACCGGTTGGTGGGTGGCAGTGGTAGTGTGACGGTCTCGGTGATTCTCACAGAACCCTATTTGTCCACCTCAGTAATATCTTAACGTTCGCCCGAACTCATAGTGCGTATTGTTCGAGAACGTGTCCAATAGATAAGTCAGTACGTATGAGTTTGTGTTCGATTAGGTTTTTTAAGATGATATAATATGGGCGGGGCAACAGATTGCTCGCCGCCTTGGACAGGTGTACGGTATCAAAAGCTTGCACACCAAAAGCCCATAGCCGAATGCTGGTCTTTCTCTTGTTCCGGTTGCGGCAGTGTGCAAATGTTACAGGTAATTTTACTCTCTCCGTTTATATTGGTTTGTAGCCAATTAAAAATCGATGAAGAATTTCACAAT